AGTGAACATTAAATATATATCTCTAAATACTAACAGCAAACTATTGTAAAATGAAATTTAAAAAGCCACTCTGCTTACAGTAGCACCAAAAAATAATTATGAATAAATCTAAAAAAAATCTTTATATTAGAAACTACAAAACATAGTTGAAAGACATTAAAGTATACTTAAATAAATGAAGAAATATACCATGTTTCTGGATCAGAGGATTCAATATTAACATAACAATTCTCCCCAAATTGTGGTATTATTAAAGGATAAAGATATAGATCATGAAACCGAATACAAAGTCTGGAAACAGACCAATAAATACACGGTCAATTTGGGGCATCTGGGTGGCTCAGACAGTGGGGCACCAGACTTCAGTTAAGGTCATGATCTCACAGTTCATGGGCTTGAGCCCCGCATTGGGCTCTGTGCTGACAGCTCAGAGCCTGGAGCCTGCTTTTCCCTCTCTCTCACCCCTCCCCCTCTCATGCTCTGTCTCTTGCTGTCTCTCAAAAATAAATAAACATTTAAAAAAATTTAAATACATGGTCAACTTGAGAAAAGTGCCAAGGTGATTTAATAGAGAGTCATTTTGACAGTAAGTAGTCCTGTAGCAATTGGACACTGGACATCCATATTAAGAAAAAAAAAAAAGGACTATTGATCTTAAACTCACACCATATGCAGAAATTAACTTGAATTGGGCCACAGTCCTACATGGAAAATCTAAAATTATAAAACTTTTGGAAAAGAACATGAGAGAAAATATCTGTGTCTTTAAGTTAGGCAAAGATATTTCAAAGAGGATGCAAAGAGTATGGACCCAAGGGAAAAATTCATGCTAAGATGCCAGCAGTTTTAACCATCATTGCTTTTGCATCATGAATTAAATAACATCAATGCACTGAAAAAGGCAAATAAATAAAATCCAAAATTATTATAAAAATAATTTTGACTCATGGACCCCCCTGAAAATCTCAGGCACCCCAGCCTCCATCAAGAATCCTCAGACCACTCAGACTTTGAGAATAGCTATTTTGTAATCATTAAAAAGAATGAAATCTGGTGTATGCAACAACGGATGCCTCATACAGACATAATGTTGAACAAAAGAAGCTTGACACAAAGGAAAGCATACTGTATAATTCCATTTATACAGCTTCCAAGAACAGGTTAAAGTACTCTATGGCATGAGAAGTCAAAATCATGGTTATCTCTGGGGTGGGGAAAGGAGATTAACTAAGAAAGTTCATAGAGGGAGCCTATATCTTGATTTAAGTGGTGCTTTGTACAGTTTACTCTATGGATGTTATACCTCAATACAAATATAAAAAGAATATAAATAAATTCCTAATCTTTAACAGTTTTATATCTTTTCCCCCTTGAACTTATATTTCAATATATTTCAATTCCACCTCCCTACAGAATATTATTCTAATGAAATATATTTTTATATTTAAGTGTTTTATTAAACATACTCTATGACCTTTATACACACACACACACACACACACACACACACACACACACACACACACAAAACTATAGGCATATTCTCAAGCAGGTCAATTTTAGGGAATGAAGCTGAGAATCTGAGAATTCTAGTTTGAGGATGATGGACCATAACATTTATTTGGCATTTCAAACCTTAATTGTTAAATACTTTTTAATATATATGTCTTACTTCACTAGAGAGCTTCTTAAAGGCAGGGATGCATCTCAGGTCTTCCATAGCCCAGGATCTGGCACATAGTAGGTGGCTCACTGATTTTCTCATTCATTCATGAGACAAAAATTTCTTTAGCCTTTCATTTATGTGTAAGGCTTGCTAGGCTCTGTGCCTATAATGATGGGTAAGTGCAAGGCTCCATAAATTCCTGTTGATAATTGATTGATAATTATCAGCTACATTTCAGAAAAGGTGTAATTCTCTTTTCTCCCAAATTCCAAGTATGAGTGCACTACAGGTTTTGTTAACCCTGTTGTAAAAACAGGGACACCAAGACACAAAGATTAATTAATTGACTCACTTTGGGTCATGCACTTCATCATAAGTCAAGTGAAGTTTAAAACCTTTACAGGTTCTTTTCTGGACTGAGGTGCTAAGGGAATTCATTCAGATTGACTAGAGTTCATATTTAATTTAAATGCTCTCATTTCACTTGTGCTACATCCACCTTCTTGGACTTGTATTTTAGGACCTGCAGTCTGAATTGGTTTACTTCTATTTCAGACACTGTCAAGATAAATTAGACACTTAGGGTCCATGACACCATCTGAAGCAGAAGTGCTATTAGTTGAAAATACATAAGAAGTTTTGTATTTCAATATAGTATAACACTTCTTTGGAGAACGTATTTTCTACTAAAAATGAAAGTGGAAATAAACATGAGTAAATTTTGAAAATGTTAAAAAAGTTAAAATTTGGTTTTAGTATATATCCTCAGGCAAGTATAGCCGAAGGAAAGCAGGTTAACAGTAAATATTTTTATCTCCTGCCAATGCATCTACAAACCATTCTGTTGAATAAAATCTGGCAGTTTCCTCACTGTGAGCAGAGATAGGGTAACAACTCTGATGATACATAAACTTGCATCAGATACAGGCTCCATTTTTTGCTGTAATCATCCATCCATAGCCTAGACTGCTCAGCTGACAAGACATGTTATTAATAAAGCAAACTGTACCACAAGTGCATTGCCCTACATGGTGTTTATCTTGTTGGAAAGTGTAATTGTCTGAAACAGCGGCCTCTGTGAAAAGATACCTTATGAGCTGTGCAAAGATCAAAATAATTTCGACTAATAGTGGTAGTTGTTTGTGAAGGATTAAAACATAGGTTATGCTGCATAGAGTTAATGACCCAGCCTTGCTTTTAAGGTCCCTGTGAGATAGCCTTCAATTTCATGCCATGCCTTGTGGAGTAACAAAGACCCTCCACTAGAATGTAAACTCATCAAAGGCAGAGAACTCCAGTTTATTTGCCAATGTCTCCCTAGCACATAGTGCAGTACTTGGAATAGAGTCAACATTTAATATTTGTTGAGTGAAAAAAAATGAATGGAGTACAGGAAAGAAATGTAACAAGTTTCAGGTTCAAGCCAAGCCATTATCAGAGTTCCACCAGGTTGTAACTCAAAAACATAAAGTGGAATCCAATCTCCAGGATTGGTATGGTGGGGAGGGAAAGGGTAAAATGGAAGCAGTGTGAAATCTAGTATCTGAGGATACCACTTGGGACTCCTATAATTCTAAGGCAGACAGGAAAGTCCCAGGTATAGAAAAGCATAAAGCTTGTCTTTAGTCCCTATCTCTCACCCGTACCCTAGCCTCACAGGATAGGACCTGGATGAGTTCTTGCATCTTTCAATCTGGATTCTCCTGGCAGAACAAAAGGAGCTTCAGATCTCAGATTCTCACTAGTGGAGTGCTAGCTGGAACAGCAACTGCATGTGGCTTGAGGACCAGTGGGAGGGGCTAGGATAAGAGCAAGGTCTTAGATAGGGAGACAAATGGAGCACCAGATCCTGAAATGGAGCTGAGTCACCTCTCCATTGAGATAGTAAAAAAAAGAGTATGAAGGAAGATAGAAAAATTTAGAAGTGATTAAGGAGAGTAGATACAGAAACATTTTGTAGAGGAAAGGAAAGTTGAAGGAACCTACTGAGGCCTAAACCACAGCCACTTTTCCTTCTTTTTTTTCCCCAACAAAATCTGATGTTATTTGAATTATATCCTCCCACATGCTCACGGTAAGTGATTTCTCTCCCCAGCATGAGGGAGAAATTATGTTTGGCATCATTCTTTTTACAAGTAGTTAGTTTAGGATGTGTATGTGACACAATTCTGTCCAATGGGATTCAGTTCTGCCAGAGGACTCTAGTAAGGGTTACCTTCCTTTATTATGAGAAAGATAAAGACAGAAAGAAAGAGGAGGGAGACAATATCCCTCTTCTTTGCAAGATGCCCTTACTGCCCTTGACACCAAAAATGCAGAGGCTATGGTGCAGCCTTGAAGGAGATAGCAGGAAAGTGTCATTTGAGGATGGCAGAGCAGAAAGAAGAAATCCACTTGGGTCCTTGACAACATCCTTGAGTTACTCAACTAACCAATACAGGAACCACGTTCCTCCAAACTTCTTATTTAATGAAATAAATTCCTTATCTTTCAAAAGCTACCTCTAGTCAAACTTTCTGTTGCTTGCACTTTTGTTGATAGCTTGATCTTTTCTTGTAAAGGTAAGAGCATGTACTTGGACGTGAAATGTGGGATGTGAAAATTTGAAACATCTTTCAGCTGTCACCTATAGCGTCTCTCCATGTTCTTTCCCCTCTTCCATCTCTTCGCCACACCTACTGTAATCAGACAAGGGCCAGGGACACAGGACCGGACACAGAAGGACCTCTCCTCTCTCAAGATTTAGTCTTTTTGTTCCTAGCTGAAGCTCAGTATGTTTGGCTCCTTCACTACAGACATGTTCTGTCGCAGGAAGCTCCTCAGTCACTCCAGGAAACAGGCTTTGGGGCCCTTGCCCCATCAGCTCCACAGATATGTCTGAACCCCAAGCCACAGCTTAGGCTCAACTGGAGCCCCAGCTGCAGCATCACTCTGTACCTATAGCTTTGTGGCCCTTGAACACAACTAGAGAATGAAAATGGCCAAAAGACTTAGGGATAGGAAATGGCACAGACATGACAGAATGTCTGAGATTGCAGGAATTAGCATAGCTTTACTACAGTATAAATTTTATGAAGACCACTTAGCACCCAGCACAGAACTCTGCATCTACAGAGTTAGTCTCAACACGTGTATTAAATTTAATTGAAATGACCAGATTGTAGGCTGAAACTCAAATGGCTTCCTTTTGCAGAATCTTCTGTTTAGAGAATGCCTTTCAACCACCACCCCCCCTCCCCCCGCAAACAAAACCTTCAATGTTTTCATCTGTTAACGAAGTTTATTTTTATAATATACTTTGAGACAGGCAGCAGTAAGAATAGTTTTAACTTACCAGGAGGAAACGAAGACACAAAGAGATGATCTGACTTGGCCACAGTCCCAGAGGGCATCCGTGGCAGAGCTAGGATGGTCTCTAAGTCCCTGGGGGCTCTCAAGCCATTGTTCAGATGTCCCTGTATGTAATTGTTTTGATAGCAATTTCCCTGGTTCTCTCTCACTTGCCTGCTAATCACGCATGTCAATCACATTCAGGACGGCCATGGGCCTAAGGGTCAGCCACAGTCTCAGGAGGACATAATTCGAACGGAAAAACAAGACACAATAGAGCACTTTCTCCTTCAAGCATGTATGTCAATTGTGGCCTCATAAGTCTGACAGTGTGTGCAGGAACAGTGTCGCTTTTTTTTTTCCCCTTCCCGATGGAGAAAGGATGTAGCGAGTGCTCTGACCACAACAGAAAACCCAATGATAAATTCACCAGTTTAAGATCTTCTTACTGGATAACACTCAAGGATATTGCAAGAGTTCTCCACCCACTCTCTAAAGAGTCAGGAGGGAGGTCCTCTTTCTTCCTCCTCAGTGAGTCTCTGAAGCTTCACTCCATCTGTTAGGCAAGCCTGGACGGTGGAACGGTAGTGTAAACCTTGACACAGATGCTAATTACCCTTCCCCTACAGACCACTTGGCCCTCTTTCCTCATTTCACTTTCACTTTAGAGAGCAGCATCTGCGGCCCAGAAGACAGGGTCCAGGCCTGGACCTGGGAGAAGGCCCTGAGGAGACGCGCGCGTGCGGCCAACAGGGAGGGGTGGGAACGGGAGCGTGCGCGGGGCGGAGGCTGCTCGCGTGAGGCGTGGACCCTGGAATGTGCGTGTGCGCGGCCCTCGAGCACCGCCCGCGCAGCGCCGATTGGCCGGGGGCGCGCGGCGGGGGAAGCCCTTGGCTAATCTCCTGCCACTCAGCCCGGTCTACGTCTGCGCCGGGGCCGCAGCGCGGATCGCGGAAGGACAAATAGTTCCCGCGGCGGCGCCGCGCGCCCCTCCTCGGCTTCGCTCACCCCGCCCGGGAGGCCCAGGCAGGCGGGGGAGGGGTGGCCTCTGCGACTGCTCGACCCCCTCTCCCCTCTTCGCGGCCTGATGAGTGGATTGCGCTCCCTTGGGAAAAGTAATTGGATTCCCGACTCCCTGCAGCCGGGATCAGCGGAAATCGGAGGCTGAGCCTGCAGGTTGCGGGGGGGCGGGGGGGTTGGGAGAAGAGGAGAGGTCGAGGAGCAGCTGCCTGGGAAGGAAACTTAGTGAAAGCAGCACTTTGCACTGACGTGTTAAGGCGTGCTTGTTTCTCTACAGGCCGCGATAGAAAGGTGGGTGGTAAAGAAGGATCAACGGAGATTACCCCGGTATCCTTTTCCACCTGGCATGTGACTTTTGCCCCTCCATGGTGTCAGCATTCTGAAATTCACCTGGTTGCTGATCTCTGGGAAGAGAAGTAATTTGGAACGTTTGAGTCTTTGAGCCACCACCACCTCGTTTTTCTCTCAGAGCTCCACTTGGAGCTCAGGCGGAGAAAGAACATCGCCAAATCTGGGATTGGAGATACTTCTTGTTAACGGGGTAACTCAGGAGAATATGCCATTCTCACCAGAATCATCCAGGAAAGAATCTTAGGTCCTTGTCTTAGCGGTAGTGAACTTCCCTAAATTCTCTCCTTAGGAGAGATGATGCCGAAGAGGGAGCCTTAAGCAGAGTTTTTGGCTAAAATGATAGGACTGTGCTAGGAATTTAAGTGACTAATTCATCCTCCTTGTGATTTTTTTTTCCCATCTAATTTACTGTATTTCACTCATTCATTCATCAAACACGCTTTTATTGGGGGCTTTCCATGTGCCATGCTCTGTTGTACTTACCAGAGATACAGCAGTGAATAAAACAAGTCCCGAACTCATGGAATCTCTTTACAGTTCCTCCAGTGGGGGAGATGACAAGACATGTACAAACATATACAGTATAATGTCATGCAGTGATAAATGCCATGAGGACAAAACAAGGTAGAAAGATGCAGATGACAGTAGTGTGGGTTTTTTTTTTTTTATATACTTAAGGTAAATTGATCTAGAAAGTCCTCTTTGATGAAGTTATGTTCAAACTGTGGTCTGCATGAAATGAGGGACAAAGCTAAGCAAATGTCTGAGGGGAAGAACTTTCTAGGCAGAGAAAAGAACAAGTTCAAAGGCTCTCAGGCCAAACTGATGAGCTTGACTTAGTAGGAAGCACAGAGGCCAACGTGAATGTTACACAAGGAGCAGGAAAACAGAGAATCTTCGTGACTTCCTTCTTCTTCTACTCAAATCTAACCTGTCAGAATAATCATTCTAAATCTTCACTTTTAGTACATCTCTTCCTGCCTCAATAGTTTGATGGCTGTATTTTCTGTTCCATTAAATTTAAATTCTTCGGACTGATTTTCAAGCTCTTGCTCCAATCTAGTTCCCTCTTATCCTGTGAATCACTTTCAATCTATTCCTTCTAGTTCTATTTAGGTTTGTCTCTCAAGTATTCATGTTTACTTATTCCTGTGTATATTTGTGTATGGGTCTACCCTCACACAACTTAGTATTGATTCAGTAAGGATGTATAATTGCAAGTGACATAAAATCCAGCTCAAATTGGCTTAAGTAGAAAAGGGAATTTATTGGCTCACATAACTGAGAAGTTCAAGATAGTTTTATTAGACATGGCCTGGCTGAAGAGTTCAAATTATGTCATCAAGATTTGGATTCTCCCTGATAGGTTTGCTCTTTCCTCTGTTGTTGGCTTCATTCTCAAGCTCCACTAATGAGCAACCAGCAGCTCTAGGCTCACACTATCCTCACTACCAGCGAAGGTCAAGTGCCCATTCCTAAACCGATCACTGTTGCTGAGAGAAAGTGATGTTCACATTGCCTTGGCCTGATTCATAAGCCCATTCCTGAAGCTATGTCTATCAGTAACCCATGAATAGCACAAGAAGGTGATTTCGCTTAGGAAAATCGTATGGTTATGAGAGGAAGAGCGAATATGTCCTGGGTAATGAAAACAGCAGACACACCACACTCCTGTTCTGGATGTCCCCAAACATTCTTAACACTACATACGCCTTCAAAAATGTTTGTGTCCATTCACTCGACAATATTATTTACCACCAAAAAAGATACTCTCTTCCTCCCAAAAGAGAGATAATCCAAATTCTTACCTAGTTACTGCAGATAACCCCCAAATCCAGGACAGCAGAGTAATAAGCATGTTTTTCTATTATACAGCAATATAGTTCCTCAAGGTCTAGTAACCTAAGCTACAAGATAAAATTAGCTACAAAATACTTAATATATAATGACAGAAAAAGAAAACAACTGCAACAAAAACTCATATTTGGAAAAATGACTAATGGCAAACACATAGTGGTCTTTAATTCATAGCATATATCATGTTGGACAGAAACACCAAGGGCGTCCTACAATGAGGGAGGAGAAAGTTCTTTGATCAACACATCTGGAGGCCATGTGTTCACCATTGGAGAATCTCTCATCCATTGTTCCTTCATGCCTGGAGGAACATATCCTGTCTATATCTGTAATGGACAATGGGGAGTATAATTCTTCTAAGGGTCATACCTCTTCAACATTCTCCTTCCTGATACAGTGGGGATTGAAAAAAAAAAGTAACTTGCTATTGCAGAGATAATTAACATTTATCACCAAATAGCTGTGATCCTCTTCTGTTATATAGAATTGTTGCTAGCAAGTAGCTGCATAGGCAGGGATTACATTTCCTGGCTTCCCTATTAATCTTGGTAAAGTCATGCAACTAATTATCTCCTTTGGAATATGAGTGGAAGTGATGTGAATCACTTCTTGCCAATGTGGTTAAGAAGTAGGTATGCCTTCTATGGTCTCTTTTCCTCCTCTGGCTGCACTGAAAGGACTCTAAAGCCCTAGAGAAAAGTCATAAGAGAGCCATGCAATAGAAGGAGTCTGGGTAGCTGATGACCTTGTAGAAGGCCACTTACTGATCAGGAATGCTGACAGTGGACTTTACAAAAGTGAGAAATAAACATCAGTTGTGTTAAGCCACCAAACTTCTGCATTAAGTGTTAAAACAGCACTAAGGGTAATTGGCCTTTATTCTCCAGACTTGGGTTTCTCTTATCATACAATTTTCTTTACTTCTTTTTTTTTTAAACATTTATTTTTTTATTTTTTATTTTTGAGAGACAGAGCATGAGTGGGGGAGAGGCAGAGAGAGAGGGAGACACAGGACCCAAAGCAGGCTCCAGGCTCTGTCAGCACAAAGCCCAACGTGGGGCTCAAACCCATAAACTGTGAGATCATGACCTGAGCCTAAGTCAGATGCTTAACTGACTGAGCCACCCAGGCACCCCTTTACTTCTTTTTTTAAGTAGGCTCTACACCCAATGTAGGGCTTGAACTCAAGACCGTGAGACCAAGAGTCCCATGTTCTACTGACTGAGCCAGACAGGTGTCCCAATTTTCTTTACTTCTTAGTAAGTTTCCAGTCTATTTGCATGTAGCCAATGTCATGGGGGGAAAAACCGCCAAAGCTAGATGTTATCTTAACCTTCAGTCTTTGCATCTGGATTCCGACATGGGTATTTTTATCTTTTCATAATAGGCCTTAGTGTACTCCTTATTTAATGGCCTCCATTTTGGTTTTTGCCTCAGAACAACTTGAAACAATAGCTACTTGTTTCAAAAAGGTGGGGCAGAGGACAGGGGCATAGTGGTGCTAGAGGGAGTAGAATGGGATAATTATTACCTTTCTAAACAGGCAGGAATTGCTTGAGAGAGGCTTGGGTGTGTTCAGACCTCTCCCAAGTGCCAGTATTTTCCATTTCTTGCCTTCATTGGCCTTAAAATTCTCTGGGGGCTTTTCCAACCCTAATGGCTCCAGATTATTGAAGTTCCTGTCCTATTTGGTTGCAGCCTTAAGCAAAAATGGTCATCTATAACAAAGCAGTATTTTTCCCTCTTAGGCTTAGATATATTAAGTTCATTTCTAATCTTGAGTCTTTCTTATAGAACCTAACTAAAAGCCAACATGCCAACATTAATAGTTGGTGTACTGTAGTATCTGACCTTTTAGTAACATTTTTCACATTTCATACTTGATAGGCACATGTTTTGAATTCTAGTATACAACAGGTGCCACTTTAACATACTACTTTGCAATTGAATTCCCAGCCTAGTATAGAATGGGCCTCATCTGAATCAACTGATTCAACATTGTAACATATTTCACTTACTAATCCCCACTTCTGGTACCAATTTGTGAATTGTTAGAGCTATTTTAGTTGCAGGTGACAAAATAAAAAAAACACAAACTGACTTATACAAAAAAGAATATATTGGCTATTGGCTCACATAGTTAAAGATCTAAAGATATATTTAGCTTAAAGCATAGCTTGATCCAAGGGCTTAAGCAATGTCATTAGAATTCTATTTCGTTTCATCTCTTGGCTCTGTCTTCTGCGTTGGCTTCATTCTCAGGCTCCATATGGTGGCTCCTGGCAGCTCCAGTTCACATAATCCTTACTGTTAGCAATCTCAGTGGAAGAGTACATGCCTTTTCCCAGAAGTGCCCACAATAATCTCCTTATATTTTATTGGCTTTGATTAGTACATGTGACCAGAGGAATGATTACTTGTGTTGTTGAGGGGGGAGTCTACTTTACCTAAAAACACTGACTGAGAGTAATAGAGGAAAAC